ATTGCGAGATGATTCAAAGGGAAGAATTTATATTATCGGCTGAGGTATTCCAAGCAAAAAGTCAATATGACAAGGATTAATGCTAACAACTTTTGCTAGCGTAATGCGAAAGTAGCGCAATTCAAGATATGATCGTCGAGAGCAATGTGTTTTTAATTTATAAAAAAAAAAAAGAAAAGATGAGAGAAATTAAATACGCTTGTGCGCATATATTTTCGCGAAAGAAAGAAATATTATAAGACTGTGTCCTTTCTTTGAAACGCGTGACAGAATAATCCACGATATTTCCTCGAAATAATATCAAGATGCAATTCAAAGGTGAAAGAATGCACTTAATGTGCATATTCCGACAACAAATAGATATTGCGCGAACATATCCTCGAGCGTATCCCCGGCGTTTACACACACACAAGCTTGTTCAAAATATAAATTGTCGGAGCAGAATGCACGCGGGAAATCACATTCTTGCATACAAATCGAAATTTATCTGTCTATTTTAGATAGAAACGATCTCCGCATAAATATAACCCGCATTTTTTTCTAAGCTAACGATTCCGTTATTGCGGAAATCGGCGAAATGTCTTATACAAAGGAGGAACATCCCTCTGGATAAAGTTTTTACTGATTTTGGCAGAGACGGAGCGTCGTTCCTTTATCAAGCAAAGGTGCCGGAGAGTCTAGCCAAGTGAACCTGCATGTCGGCCAAGTGGAATCCTATGCTCTCCTCGCCCATAAAACTCTCTTTCTCTCTCTTTGAATTACATCACGTTGGATTTCCTAAGCGAGAACGGTGCAAGCTCTTGTGGTATCTCGCTCTTTCCAAGCTAATTAAATCCTTTCTACATCTAAAGTCAGATGCAGCTGTAGCTCGCATATGAATATACTTCAACATAGATATAAATGATATGGGAACATAGGAAATTTGTTCGTAACAAGTTTGTTATTCTCGAAATTTAATTATCCGACATAATATCTTGTGTAATAATTGCAGGGCATGCAGAATATTTAATGTAATGAATGTAACGTTTCGGTTTTTACTCGAGCTTAATTGCAGTTGCATTATAATTGCATAGCTTTGTGTAATAGTTTTTGATTGTTTTTAATTGTACGCGTTTTAATCTATCCGACGCTGAAATTTCGAGGTCGAAGCGAGATCTCGACATCATTTACATCTTCTAAAAAAAAAAAAAGATACATGACATTTGGTATACTCGGGTATATTATGGTCCTTCCTGTCGGATAAATGTAAATGTTACCAGGGATTGCTTAACGAAGCATCGCTAATCAAGGGCGAGTTAATGGGTCGAAATCTCAACAGACCTTGGTAAATTCAGAATAAACGGCGGAATAAACATATCTCCATCTTCCCTTCCCTCCCTCCGTCTTCCTCGAAGCGTGAGTTTCCTGTATATTATATTTCACATCAACAGCTCATCAAAGGAAAACTACAAAATCTCAGACTAATTAATACGAGATGTAAACATGATAAACTTCTAACGAAAAAGGAAAATCATAACAAAATATTTAAAAAGGAATAATATAGAATTTTCTGATATATAAATTCATATTTTATTTATAAATTTATATTTTATTCGTATATGGCGTATGTTCATGTGTAATAATTTCTCACAGTTGTAATGCATATAATATTATAGCTCGATTAAAAACGCTCGAAAAAATACATAACTAAGCAAACTGATTTACAAATCTCGTACCATTGCTGATAAATTAAATGACAAATATTCAATTCTGAATTGCATGCGGTTTTATACGGTGGAAAAGATCCATATTGGCGCACGAACGAATATGCATGCTGTTCAAGTTAATGAAAAACGCAGATATAATACGCGGATCGCTTGTTGCTTCGATAAATTACATAATGTGTAACAACATTTGGTATACAAAGTGTAACGCATCATCGGCGGATCGGCCGGACAGTATCGAGGGATCGTATAATTATATCTCGCGCAATTAATCGCGCGTCGCATGCACGATACTAATCCTTCCGCGTGTAATATACGTTGCATAATAACAGTTAACCCCCTGATATGGGGTTGCAATATGTTACGATATATCCTAATGTTACTGTACGCGAATACAGTTGTCTCGATCCGTGACATTTTTCATCAAAGTCGGATGAGAGCTGTCACGCGAGTCACGGGGATTACAATATTCGCACGCGGATCCGTCGGAATCTCACGTGAAATATAAAAACGAAGTGGCAAAAGCGACTCCATGGGGAGGAAGTAGAGGGATAATCTGCGGAAATGCCACGCGTAAAGAGAGATAGGAACGCGAGTATCTTCATATCACCCCGCGAAAGGTCGATTCGCTCAGGGAAGGTTATAGACCTTACCGCTTCATTATTAACGCGATGTATATCGATTTTGTCTGCCTGCCTCCGTAAACTCGTTTCTATTCTCGCGGTTGCGGATATGGTTAAGAGATGAGGGGGTGCAAGAGGGAAGGAAGAGAGATCCACCGCCGATCACTCGAGGACTTCCGTCGAACGGCGATTCGAGAATTAACCATCTCGTCATGCCGTGCAAACGAATAGAAGCCGAGGGGGCTTTTATTTCCGCAAAGAGTTTCTCTCGATGAATGCGGAATTTTTATCGAGGTAAAATGGCAAATGTCGCGCGAGACACTCTTTGTCGAGTCGGGGACTGTTAAGTTGCATAATAGTTTTTTATTGCGAATAGCTGCGGGATCAATCCAATCGGTTTCTCTTGAATTTTCGAGAACGATTTTGCGGGAGAATTTTATTGTTCACGTTAACGTGTATAAATCTGTGTGACGCCGTAGGCTTCCGCTAAAAATACATCGAGACGAGCGTGGATAGAAGCTGTTCTCGCGCGCGCAAAATGTATTAATATACATATATTTTGCGTTACTACACATTAGACTTTTACGAGGTAAACTATCGAGAGTTAAAACGGATGTAGATTAGGCGAGAGAGTTTACTTTCTTCAAGGCCGTATAAATCTTTCAGTTCATTTATTTTCAAAGCTATGTGGCATGTTTGATGTACGGTGTTCCCATCAATTTATCGCAATTTTCGAAACTAAATTATACTTTCGGAATAAATTATATACATGTTACGTAATTAAAAACTGAAGCTTAAAGTGTTAATACATCGCACAATTTCGCATAATTTATTTATTTTTTTCTCGTAAAGTTAATGTAAAAATTAATATAAATGAAGTATAATAATGAGTTTAAAGACTTTAAGAAGGATCCGCGTGATTCTCAACAAGATAGAGATATACTTGGAGCTTACCCAACGACGTATCCATCTCAAAGCTCTGGAGATAATCTCAAAAGCCACTGATTTTCATATTTACCCTCTGCCGAGGATCGAGAATCCAGAGGAGATCGATGCAAATCTCTCCACTTTGAATTTAGCAAGATCTCGTACACTCAGTCTCTCAAAGATATTACTCGATCGCGCGGCAAAATATTTGGATATTTGCTCGCGATGACGATGTGTCATTCACGGAGAGCGAACTCTTGAATCCGCGCGCGCGAATGAACGACAACGGGACGAGGGTCGTCGTCGTTTGGCCGGGAAGACCGACCACCCCGATGTATATCCTTCTCTTTGATGCCACGTGCTGATCGAGCGAGCGTGAGAGAGAGAGAGGAAACGGGCGCGAGCGACCACGTCGGCGCGTCGCGACGTGTCCATCGACGCGCGCAATCGGCGCTTCCGGGATGCCAAACAAGAATCGTGGTCGTTTTTTAATCGCCGGCTTCCCCGTCGCAACCCTTTCCAAATGACAACAATTAATATCTTATCCCGCGAATTTAAACCTGGAGAAATAAACACCCTCTCTTTCTCTTCGACGAGTGCGATATTCTTTGCTTTGCGATGACAATGATTAGGACAATGATCCAGACGAATTTGTATAGTCGCAATGCATAAAAAAATTTGATTGGTCCATATGCATAAGGAAATGGATCGATCAATTTCTTAAATCCGTCTGGATAGGACCTTTACTATCGCGTTTCGAGATACTCTAATATATCATAAATATTACCGACAACAGCTCTTTCTTAATTAATCGGCGCCATAATTTATTCCGATTCCCATTTTTTGCGTATCGCAATTCTCAAGGAATCCGATAATTATTCGTCGTCATTCATGGCGCTCTACGTATAAAGGGTCAATCCACCGAGTTATTGGATTACTACCTGGTATCAACACGCGTCTGGAAACGTCAAGGGTAAATTGACAGCGCATAATCTGTTTCGACAGGTATAAGTACGCGGTGGGTGATAGAGTCGAGTGCGAAATCGACACGCTGCAAAATCTGGCGGTACCAGAGACAATTTCGCTCGCGCGATTTCGTAACGTTCGCCCACACCCTACCATCATCCCTATAAATCCACCCCTAAAAATCATGGCCAATTTTACGAGCCCAGTACCAGTACCTCGTAGATACTGATCCTTTTCGAACAAAGTCGACGGCGGGATATCGATAGTAAAATTCGCTATATTCCTTCACAAGAGATAAAATTGTGCATTGTATAAATAAATAAAAGAATACTCTTTAAAGAATTTATCGCATTTATCGAAATTTCATGATCCGCCGTCATGAAATATTTTTTGAAGCAGAATGTGTGACAAAAGATCTCATTATTACAATATTTTAAACAAATTAAGATTAATTTTTATAATCAATCTGTAGATTTATAAAAATTTATATTATTTATATTATTCTGGAAATATGTGTCGCACACAGAACAAGTTTGAAATGATAGTTTTATAAACAGTTATGTAGTCCTTGTCTGAATCGATCAATCTTCGATGAAGCTACAGCTGTGAACGAATGACATCAAAACAAATACACTTTTTTAAATCGGATTTGCCAGGAAATTACTCACTCTCTTTCTCTCGCATTATTTAGTGACAAATATTAAATACTCCGTTTAATAGTGAATAGTTTTTAACAATTTGTATCTCTAATATAAAACAGCGATTTTTATTATACGAAATAAAAAAATTTCATATATTTCAGAATAGCCGCAGTGAGGAGAAGAGAAGTCATCGGAATCAATTGTATTGAATAAAAAACTGAATAATGAACGTTGAATCTTTGCGCTACACAAAAAATATCTTAAATCGTCTTACGATAAACCAAAGGTTGTTCTACGAGAAGAATGGATATTTAGTATTTCCTGGCCTTATACCGCAAGATGTGATCAATGAATGCCACAAAAGGTATTATTTAGTTTTTACCATCACGATGTTTCTTTCTGACTGCTTCAAAAATTAATTGCTGGGAATTAAATCTAAATGGAAAATTTATATATGAAGAAAATCCAAACGGATATAATATATATACATATATGTATGTGTGCGTTAGTTTTTTTCTTTGAGCATGCTAACTTTTAGAAACGCCTGAAACATTTATTCAATATACATAGATATGTAGGTATAGGTAGGTATTAAAAAAAAAAAAAAGTTTTCAAAACGAAAATATTCGTAATTATTACCAAAACATTAATTCAAAACAATTTTTGTCGACACTACGGCAATGAATATATAGCTTGATAATCCAATGTTACTGAAATATCCCCGATGTTTCGGTAAATTTGCTAACGATATATTGACGCGCACGCAAATATCGCAAACCGACTATGATATCACAGATGACTGATATCTGGATATTCAAACGGGATATCTCTGAAATGCCGGCATACAGTAAATTGCAAATATGAGCTTTCTTTGATATTGATCACATCGGCGCGACGTTGACTCGGGAAGCAATATGTGTATCTCGATATACTAGTTTATCGAAAAAGAATCGTAAGAGATCCATTTTGAAGACTACATATGTCAGAAATTGTGTACTGAAATTCTGTCTCTTTCACTTGTTCTTCTCAGATTTGATGATATTGTCGAAGGCAAAGCTCCACGAGACGGAATCGTGGTGATGTATGATGTGAAAGACAGGAAGTCGGTAAATAAAATACAAGACATAAATCGGGATCCGATATTCTGTCATTATATCGAGCACAAGAAAATCCTCGACATAGTTGAGTGTTTTACGGGACCAAACATTTTAGCGATACATAGTATGCTCATCGCGAAGCCACCCGACATTGGATTTGGTAGTTCAAGGTGATCGTATGAAAAGCTTTGAAGTTAATATTAATAGCAGCATACTTCTCATATTAAGTTGATAAAATAAATAACGCAATACGCAGACATCCGCCACATCAAGACCTGTACTATATGCCGATACGTCCAGCCGAACGTATAGTGGCCGCGTGGACAGCTATGGAACCATGTGATACCGAAAACGGATGTCTCTTTGTAGCACCTGGAACACACACTGCGGAGCGCCTGTACCAACACAGTTATCCTTTAAATATGGATGGCAAGATAAATAAGTTTTATCACGGAATACAGGTAAGATATATCCTTTTATCTATCCTCTTATATATTAACTTTATCGTTTTATTAAATGACGTTTCCTCTCTTTTCTGTTACGAAGAATTTGCCTTCAATCGACCGATGGGTGAATCTCGAGATGCAATCGGGCGACACAGTATTCTTTCATCCGTTGCTCATTCATGGATCCGGCGTCAATAAATCCAAGAGAACGAGACGGGCCATCTCCTGTCACTATGCGACAGTGGATTACAATGTGGCCGATGTATGTAAATAGAAAAGACATACAAGTCCGCCATCACAAAAAATTTAACAAATAACGTATTTTTAGGACGATCCAATTCAGAACACCATCAGAAATGAAGTCTTGGAATACACGAAGGAAAAATATCCTGATGTGGATTTAACGTACGCGGATATATGGCGTGTCAAATCTACGCTTGTACGCGGCATTCAATCTTCTTTATAAACGTTTAAAGGTCAAACTATTGTATCTCAAAGCAGGGATAAAACGGGATAATCGGGCATAAAACGTTAACATAGTTTCGATAGAAATAATATTAATATAGAAAGAGAGGTCAACATGGGATTCATTTAATGGACAATATAAGGTATAACATTCGGGAAAAAAGTGGGTAAATAACATCACTACAGAAGAAGAAGTAACGACAACGGCGGGATTGTCGCCGTTATTATTTAATGAATTAAAATTGCGTCGATGTCGCTGAGAATTCAACGGCTGTGGGACATAACAATGCTTCGCAAGGGGATCCTTATAAGTATTCTCGTGTCGCACGCTCGAGCTCGATGTTCGACAGGCGGCTAAGCAAATCTGAAAACGATCCGGATTACGTATACGCAGTCTCCCATCATCTTTTGGCATCCTCGCGGAAGCTAACTTTCGACCTTTTAATTGTAGGATTGACTGAAATAAATATAAAATATGGCGTGTCAAATCTACGCTTGTACGCGGCATTCAATCTTCTTTATAAACGTTTAAAGGTCGAACTATTGTATCTCAAAGCAGGGATAATAATCGGGCATAAAACGTTAACATAGTTTCGATAGAAATAATATTAATATAGAAAGAGAGGTCAACATGGGATTCATTTAATGGACAATATAAGGTATAACATTCGGGAAAAAAGTGGGTAAATAACATCACTACAGAAGAAGAAGTAACGACAACGGCGGGATTGTCGCCGTTATTATTTAATGAATTAAAATTGCGTCGATGTCGCTGAGAATTCAACGGCTGTGGGACATAACAATGCTTCGCAAGGGGATCCTTATAAGTATTCTCGTGTCGCACGCTCGAGCTCGATGTTCGACAGGCGGCTAAGCAAATCTGAAAACGATCCGGATTACGTATACGCAGTCTCCCATCATCTTTTGGCATCCTCGCGGAAGCTAACTTTCGACCTTTTAATTGTAGGATTGACTGAAATAAATATAAATCTATTTTAATTACGAATTTAAATTTATCAATATTATGAGCTTCCTGTCCTGAGCATTAAATGTAGCTATAGTTTCTTATATTTCAATATATAACTGCAAATTGCAGTTGAGAAAAACAAGCTTATAAAATCGATAAGTATCTACCTTATCAGGATGCAGGCAACAAGAGACGCAATATTCATAAATAGTACAGCATCCTCGAGAATTGCACGTTTTACAACTATATCTCTCTTTTTTGGCCATGGACAAAGTCTCTTCATTCTTTGATGCTTGTTTCAGCTCCATTGTACAACATCCATTTGGCAAAACTTCGTGTCTTGAACATACTATGCCGCGTTCATCTACTATCAACCCTTTTCCCTAATAAAATAAGATATATTGCATGGAATTGCTATACCAAAAAATAAAATAAAAAACAAATAATAAACAAGATAAACTCATTTGAACCAAATGCTCACTTGAACAGAATTGCGACAAGGCTGGGTAGAAGCATTGTTCTCATTTAAATTGACCATATCCATATTGCCTGTATTATCCGCTCGATCAGGTATTTCCATTTGCCATAATAAAGGTTTGCTGGATACACTTAACTCTTCTGGAAGCATGTTATCATCAGGCATCAAATCTTCATTGTTATCATTAAGCATTATAGGATCCATATGGCCAAGATCACTGTCTAGACTCAATGAATCTTTCTGTAACAAGAACATGACACATTTCTCTGTAATAAAAATTGTATGGAACAATACGCTGGCTGTCACCCGATTATCAGCTGATAATTCAGCCTCGGCGATACGAATGTACTTACCTTTTCATTTCGTAATAGCGAAAAGGCACAATACGTCAACGACAGAGCGAAGATGAGTCCAAGAACGACTCGTCGTCTGATTAATCTAATCAGACTCGCGCAGCTTCCAGGCATCCTTCCTGATGTTTTGGTAAACAGCTCCTCAAAGCAGCTTGGAATTCTCCACGCCCGCAATCACCGAACATAGTACTTGCGTGATCATCGTATCGTAAAAAATTCACGAGTGTACGATCGCGAGAAGGATTAGCGATCGCGAAGAGAACATTGAAATGCAATCTTAAATTCACAGATTCGTGGAAGAGAAATACAAAGAGAGAGAGAGAGAGGTTATATTGTTGTTATCTTGGATACCACAAGCATTATTTTGTTGAGCCTTTGCACGCTACCGATGCTTCATTATTTCAATAAGAAATGCACGAAAACGGTTTCGATTACCGTAAAATTCAACGCATTTTTGTTAAAATATTATCGCATGAGAAAGCAAGTAAACAAAGCACAAGGTTTTTGCACTCAGATGATTCTTCGCTTTCTTTCTTTCTCCAACGCCTAATTTATCTCGTTTCCAGTTTCCAGTAGAGAAAGTTCTAAAGTGCAATATTATGACAGTTCGTTTTGCTGCACTTTTCATATATTATCAAAAGCAAAATCACATTATACGTGCGTTTAAATTAACTGCATTTTATTATATTTAAAATATAAAACAGAATGAGATATCAGCGATGTATGATATCAGAGAGAAGCCTGAGAGGGGCCACGCCACCGTTTTCGAAAGATGCTTTTTCTAGCTAATGCAATAGCGCCAACTGGATCCATTTTAGAGCCGGCGGAATTACATGGTCAGGTTCACTTTTCGGTGTCACGGTAAAACGGCCAGTTGGTGCGTGTCCGTGCTAAAACCATAATTGTGGATAAAAAAAGGGAGAAATATTATGAATTTATTAATATTTTATTAGTTGCGCGTGATGTTTTGTCATTTTAATATATACAACGGCCAGCAATAATAAGTTATTATTGAATTACTTTTATGTACATATACACGTATGTGAAATGAAAAATAAATTTCCTTCGGTCAATTTTCTTAATAATTTTTTCCCTATTTTTTAAGTATAACAGGTAGAAGATATTTACAATAAATTAAATAAATGCTTTCGCGTAGAAGATATTTACAATAAATCAAATAAACGTTTTCACTTTTTTCTTATTCTCGAAACAAAATTATCAAGGTGCTATATCATTTGACTTTTCAACGATCTAGATATAATTTAAATTAAGACCGTACTATAAAATGATCGAATCGTAAAATCCATTAATTAACATAACGATAACCTCCGTGATACATTAATCGTTTAATAAATATTTGATATTAATAAATAAATTAATTAATAAATATTATAAATTGATCCATATTAATTAATTATTAATTATATTATTTAATTAATTTTTTAATTTTTAAATTTAGTTGGATGCACTAATGCGCACCGATGCACATTAAAAGCGATTATATACAAATTTATATAAACATAAGTAATTAGAATAATAAGATAATTAATACTACAAGTCTTTTGAAAATAAACACATATAACATAAATACGCTCCACTTAAAGCTATTTTCGCTCGAAGAAAAAGATTTTTCACCCTCATTTATCCTCTAAACGCTTCGGAGCGAAAATAGTGTCAAACGGAGCGCATTTATTGAATATATAAAAACTTTTATAAAATTTTTATATTTCTTATATTTTTGAACGTAATTCTATTTGATTAATAAGATTTCTGCAAATGAAATGACAAAAAAACGCGACATTATTTGGATAAATTGTAATTAGATACAAATTTAAAAATCAGATAAAAAATTATGTTCCTTATCTAAATAAAAATTATTCGGATTATATCGTATTTGATGTCATTTTAATCGTAAAAATCTCATT